TTTTGTTGTCGAGAGCTCGGTAGCCGCGAATTATCGAGGAGTTTCTGCGTCAGAGAGGTGTCATTTGAAAATATGACATAGTTCAAAAATCTCATTGATGAATATTGATGAAAAGCACGAGAGTCGCAGAATCGATCGAAGGTCTGTTTGATTTTGCAAGCGTTCGAATTCGTCGTACCCTCGTGTTGGATAACTATAATTTTTGGAATCGCCTCTTCGGGGTTATCCGTTGAGGCAAAAATTCAAATTAAAAGAGATTCTTTGAAGATGTTCATTGAAATTTCAGCTCAAAACAAGTTAGGTTCAATGATGCTTGACCTTGTGTTGAATGGTGACACACTCTCCCTTGATGCATTGGAATTGGTCATGTCCGAACTTTGGGCAATCTGAGACAACCTTGCATGTTGGCTTTGGTGGCGCGATGGTGACAGCTGAGGCGAGGAAGAAGAGCTGGAATTTTGATTGTAGAGAGTTGCAGGTGCGCTCTATTGAGAACTTACAGCGAAGAGGACGATGAGACGATGGAACATGGTTGACTTTTTGGGGTAAAAACTTGGGATTTTATACTGGTAATATTTTATTGCACCCGGAGGGGGGGGGGGGTTGAAATTTTGCAAAAAAAATATTTTTTTTGCATTTCGGAGAAAAGAAAATGATAGGTGCGAAAGATCAAGTGGAATATTTAGAGGTTTGGTCTTTGGATTTTGGAAGAAGTGGTTCTCTCTGGGATTACTGTAGCTTTCGAAATTCCCAGATTTTTAAAGGATTACTGTAGATTAAAAAAAAACGAAAATTACGGTAGTTGGTTTTAGATTCTCATGTCCCAAAATTGGGGTTTTAGGATATTTATGTCTTTGTCAATTATTCAAAATGTACAGATTACGGTAGTTTTGAACATTCAGGATTACAGGAGTTTTCTCAACTTAAGGATTACGGTAATTTGATTTTCGGAGTTGTAGTTATTTTGAATACGAGGATTACTGTATTTTGAAATTTTTAACGGTGAACAATTGAGGGTTACTGTAGCTTTCCGAATTTCCGAATTTTAAATATTACTGTAGCTCTGGAATTTTAGCGTTTCAGTAAGTTTTTGGAAAAGGAGGACTACTGTATATTTCAAAATTTTGGGTTACTGTAGTTTTTCAATTAAGAATTACGGTAGTTTATGTAAAATCGGGATTACTGTGGATCTTTTGAAATTTGAGGGTTACTGTATTTCAAAAATAAAAAATTAGGATTGCGGTAGTTTTTTTGGGATTTGAATTCAAGGATTACTGTAAATTAATAAAATGAAGATTACTGTATTTCGATTTTCGGGATTGAAGGATTCACTATACTTCAAGTCTCGGATACTTCTATAACTATTAAAATGAAAAATTGAGATTTACTTTAGTTTTTTGAGGAATACGGTAGTTTTTGGATTCTGAGGATTACTGTAATTTCAAAAAATATACAAATGAAAAATTGAGGATTAAGGTAGTGTTCCAAAATGGGAGTCACTGTATTTTGTTTTCTTAAGGATTACTGTAATTTGTAAAAATTTTGAGATATCGGTAGTTTATTGAGAGTAAGGACTACTGTAGATTTTTTGAAATTTGAAGATTTTTTTCGTTTTTTTTTAATATTTCAGGATTACGGAATCTTTCTTTTTGAAAGTTCAGGATTACTGTAGCTTTCTAAAATAAAGAACTACTGTAGTTTTTTAGATTTTGAGGATTACTGTAGTTTTTTTGGAATTAAAGGATTGTTGTATTTCAGAAGAGGATTTCTGTAGTTCCCAAATTTTAGGATTATGGTTGCTTGATTTCTGGAATTCAAGAATTACTGTAGTTTTTAGAAAATATGGACCTCTGTATTTTCAAAGTTCTATAAATGGAAAAATCGGAAAAAATCGAAAATTGTCAAAAACCTTTTTCTTCCAAAACTATTCCCAAAACAACATGCTGTTTCTCAATGTGTCTGCGTCTCCAACCCCTTTAAAAATCTCTAAACTTTTCCGAGAGGAACCGGTTCTCTCAACCAAGACTGTATGTCACCGCGCAGTGCCTTTCTCTGAATCTCTGCGGGTCTCTGTTCTCTATACTCTCTCATCTTTCTCTCTCTCTTTCTCTCTGTTGTGTTATGTCCAGTTCCATCTTTTCCCAAACACAGAAAAAAGAGAGAATCGAATGAATGAATATATATACACAATATGTTGTACAATACATTTTTTATTTTACATGTTCTTTTTTATTTTCCTTGCTGTACCTTTAAAAGTTTGTTTTTTGAAAAAGTAGATCAAAATCTTCGTTTTCCTTTTTATCTATTCAAAGATTCCTATCTTTTTTCTCTGTCCCTACTGCCCAGATGACACATTTGATTTCCTTCAAATCCACGTGTTCAAGTTCAAGAAGACTTTCGAAAAGCGGCGGTGTTTTCTATGCCATTTGGAGCTCTCTAAGGAAATGTCGCCGTGTTGTAGTGGCGCACGCTTTTGGTGTTGGTGCAGAGGGTCAGGAGTTCGAACCCTCTTGTGGGATTTTACTTCTTTTTTTGTTTTTTTAGATTTTTTTTTATGACCAAGTACTTTTTAATCGATTTTTTAAAACCAAAACAACCGAATGACTTATTAATTTTGAAATTTCGAAAAAAATTTTTTTGAATTCCGTTATTTTTTGAAATTCCTTTTCTATCATATTCGGAATTATTTTGGAAAATAGATTATAAAAAATGCCAATAGAGCACATTTGTAAAATATTAAAAAGAAAAATTCAAACATTTCAAATATCACAAATAATTTGTCTTTCAGAAATTTTCTTTTTTTTCAGAATTTTTTTTTAATTTTCAGCTTTTCAGGCTTTTTCGTTTTTCTTGATTCAACAAAATTCACAGAACAAAAATCTTTAAAAAATCAGAAAATTTCAACTTTCTATTACAGATCTTCACAATCCCCCCCCCCTCTCTCTCTTCCCTTGAAAATCCCTAAAATTCACCCTTTTGTCTACGCCCTCCACCCCTCTTTTTCACATGACGCCAATGGCGCAACGGCTAACGCTTTTGGGCGCTGCTCACCATGGTGGTGCACTCCGGGGTTCGACTCCCCGCTATGGCATTTCCTTTTTTCTTTCTTTAAACACTAGAGCGAACTTGCCATGCACTATGACTCATATCAAACCGTAGACCAATTAATAGCCGACGGCACCTGGGCAATTATAAAACATCGAAAATCCACTCGACGAAAAATCATCGAAACACAAGGCTCCGCCCACTTTCCGCGCCTACGTCACAAAGTGACCGATGGTGGGGGACAAGAGATCGCGGCGAGACCATCATCAAATATTTATATACTGTTCCATTATTTTTTCATTGATAAAAGGAGGGCAGTCATTCTGAGTCATATTCCCTTGATATTTTTTGTGAAAAGCAAATTCGCTCTATTGATAATTTCTAAATATCAGTTTTCAGGATGGACACATCTGGGTCCACCACGGATTTTGGGGACCACGTGGTGTTACGGTATGGAGGGACCAAGGAAATGGTTCCGTTGATTAGACATGAACAGGTTGGTTTCTGATTAGGGCGCATTTGCATTTTTTGTAAATTTGAATCTGGGCTAGTTTTGAAGATTTCCTAGCGATTTCTCAGCTAAAATTTGTAGAAATTCAGCTGGATTAATCGCTAGTTTTTGAATTTGCAACCTATCAATTTTGTTCGGTAGAGCGCCTTTGCATTCGGTAGAAATTTAAAAATTTCGAATGTTTGTAGCTGTTTCGAATGATTTTAATAAAAAATAGGTGCCAAAAAAGTTCGCATTTGCATTTTCAACTCGTTCAAAATTTCTATTCCAGATGCTAGACATGTTAATGGAGCGAGCACGTCAGATAGTACAGGGATTCGGAAGTTTGGATACTCGAAATATGTATTTGTTTCGTCACGAGTACAATTCACCAACTTTGCTTTTTCCAATCACCTCTCCCAGTCAAATTGCAAGTTTTTCGAAAGTTTGAAAATGCGCTCTACGGAGAATTTCTGTGCCTGACACTTTTCTTCTAAATATCTCGGTTCCTAGAAGAGATATCAAAAAGTGTAAAACTACAGAAATGTGTAGAATTTTATTTTACACATTTTAATAATTATAATTAACTTCAAAGTCAATAAACCCACAAGAAGGGTGGCTATGTGAAGTACTTGTCTTTGAACTCAATTATCTCAATTTCTATAAAAAATAACAAAAATTTGTCAAATGGTAAATTATGCATCACTTGATCACCAATATTTTATCAGTTGACGAATTTCTGATATCTCTTATAGGAACCGAGATAATTGAGCTCAAAGTGAACGTATATTGTGGACTATTAGCAAATACAGTGGCAAAAGCGCCCCAATGAAAATATTCCCATTTTCAGAACCCGGGATGTATTCTAGAAATAATTCTAGTGGATCGAACAGAAACCGCCGTAATCCCACATGTCGTAGAACCCGAATCCTATATGCTTCCAACATTTTGCGATTTCTGTGGAGAATTGCTCACTGGGTTATTGAGACAAGGAGTTAAATGCAAAAATTGCAATAGGAATTTTCATAAACGTGTTCGAATGCAGCAAGGAATAATTGTGGAGCATCTGGATCCCCTACCACAGGACAGGGGTCTTCTCGACCGCCCATGTTACCCCCACTGCCACCAACGCCTACTGGAATTCAGGTGTCCGCGCTGCCAACGCCTTCTGGTGAGTTTTTCGAAAAGTAGTCAATTTCAAAGCAGTTGAATTTTATAGAAATTGTATTTTCCTACATTTCAGTCTAAAATTTAAAGAAATCGGTTGATGAAGTCAAAAGTTAATGTCATTTGGATATCAGAAATTATCATAAAAATGATTTTTTAAAAAAAATTTAGTTGAAAATACTGGAATTTAATTTTAAAATGTTTGAAATATTTTATAAAACTCAAATCTGTTTGAATTTCTAAAATTGATCAAGAATGAGCAAAGTTACAGAGTTTTTGAAAAATCCCAAATTTTCGAATTTTCAAAAATCCTTAAAATTCTAAAATTTCAAAAATCCTAGAATTTCGGATTTTTTTAATAACTCTAAAAATTTAAAAATATCAAAAATCCCAAAAATTCAAAAAATCCTGAAAATTGGAAATTTTCAGTAATTCAAAAGAGCCGAAACTTCCAAAATAATGAAATATCCAAAATTTTTATAATTTCCAAAAATTGGAAAATTTGGAAAAATCCAAAAATTTAAAATCCCGAAAATCCCGAAAACTAGAAAATTAAAAAAATCTTTAAAATTCGTAATTTTCGAAAATTCAAAACTAGAAATTTTCGAAAATCGCGAAAATTAAAAAAATTCGAAATTATCAAGAATCCCAAAAAAATTCAAATTCTCCAAAATTAATCAATTTTGACCCAAAACCCCCAAACTTGGCATCAAAACATCTCAAAACATCTCAAAGATTCCAAAAAATCATATTTCAGGCCTCCCCCACACGCTAATCGAGCACAGTTATCGTCAATTCACAGTATGTAAAGTGTGTGATCACTTGCTGGTTGGTCTAATGAAACAAGGCCTAAAATGTCGAGATTGTGGTGTGAATGTGCATCGAAAGTGTGCAATGGAACTTCCCTCGAATTGCATTCTATCAGAAAATGCGATTTCAAGAGTCAATTTTGCCGATTCGGAGGCTGAACAAGCGTCTTCTTCAGACAATATTCCACTGTTTCGATTACCAGGTATTTCCACTTTTTCGAAGCGTTTGGAAGTTTTGAATTGGCTATAACTTTTGTTATACTGAACCAATTTTTATGAAAATTATGCCAAATTGTAGGAAATTTCAAGTACTTTAAAGGTGGGGGGACATGAAAAAAATAATGTTCTCGAAATTCCGTTCAAAGATGCCCCTGGAGGAGTTGAACTTGTGAGGGCGATGATTGAGGGTGCGGCGCCGCTACCGACTGAGCTACGCTGGCAAAGAGAAAGCGCACGCCCGATTGCATACATAAAGGCGAGGACGACAGCTGTACGCAGAGTGACATTAAGCGTTGTACACCGTCACGGTAGAATGCATACTCTAGCTACAAAAAAACTACGAAAAATCTCCTGTCCCCCCACCTTTAAAGGTGGTGTACGGTGAAATTTTTTATAGCATCAAAATGTGCAGAAATGCATGTAGATGACATAAAAATAAAGAAAAAATTCAAAAAAAAATTCCTTCATCGAGAAAAACGCATCGAAAAATACGCTGAAAGCCCTTAGGGACGAGGTTTTTTCTAGGCCGCCCGGTGAGTAAAAGCGCGCGAATTCAAACTTTTACAATTTTTTCGCTCGTTTTCACTGTTTTTTCAAATTTTCCGACGTATCTGGAAGAAAAATTGACAAAAACCTAGAAAAATCTTGAAAAAACCCGAAAAAACAGTGAAAACGGGCGAAAAAAATTTAAAAGTTTGAATTCGCGCGCTTTTACTCACCGGGCGGCCTAGAAAAAACCTCGTCCCTAAGGGCTTTCAGCGTATTTTTCGATGCGTTTTTCTCGATGAAGGAATTTTTTTTTGAATTTTTTCTTTATTTTTATGTCAATCTACATGCATTTCTGCACATTTTGATGCTATAAAAAATTTCACCGTACACCACCTTTAAAACATAATGTTTATGAAAATTGACAAAAGATTGATAAAGTTATAATTTCTCCAAGAGATGACCAAAAAAGTTAATGTTACGAAGTGATATACAGTTGTCTTGAAGGGTTTTACCAGGCGAGAGTTTTTAAAGAAACACAAGATTTACACCTTTGGGCTATTCCACACCTGTCACTTTTGTTTGACTTTTTTAACAAACAGAATTTCTTCAAAATTGGTAAATTAGGTCAAAAACAAACATCTACCATCCATGCTCCACTGATAATCATTTTTTTCAGGACAAGTCGGAGTACGAGCAACAGAGAAGAAGAATCTCGAAGGCTGGATGATTCACTTCATTCTATCCGATCCAGAACGTCGTCTAAAACATTATTGGATGATGCAAAACAACGCGATTCATTTGTATAATGAATATTCCGAAGGGATCGGCGTTAATCCGAATCGCGTCTACCGTATCATTCCGTTAGCCGAGATCACGTCTGTTGTACAGAATAATGGGAAATCCGTCCTGGCTAAACATCCGCCACACTGTTTTGAAATTCGAACAACTACGAATACCGTATTCTGCGTTGGTGAGGATTATCATGCGTTCTCTGGTGGTCCACCGAAGAAGATTCCAAGGAGTATGAGTGTTCGACCCACTTCTAATACCACCATGTGGTTTCAGGTGACCTTTTTTTTTTGAATTTCATAACTTTTTGATTTTTCACTTTTATTTTGTGAACAAAAATTTAAATTATAGCCCATGAGATTTGCTATAATTGCTGTGAATTTCATAAACATTAACCAATAGCAGCAAAAGTTATAGCCAGTTAAAATTTTTGATAAATTCCTAGCATTCAGTTTTTGGTCATCTCTTGGAGAAGTTGTAACTTTATCAGTTCTTGATCAAATCATATGAAAATTATATCAAACTAAAGAACTAAAAACTGCCTACAATTTAACATAAATTTCTTTAAAATTGGCCAATTAATTCAAAAGTTATAGCTTTTTGAAATATGGGATCAATTCCAAACCGTCAACTTTGAGGTCAATTATCTCGGTTTCTGTTAAAGATATGAAAAATTTGTGAACTAATAAAATATTTGTGATATTATGATAAGCAATTTATCAGTTGTCAAATTCTTTACATCTTTAACAGGTTTCGAGATAATTGAGCTCAAAGTTGTAGGCTAGGGCGGGATAAGCCCTCACTGGGCTTCTGTTAGAAGACATAAGGTAACCAATTCTAGAACTTTTTAAAAATTCAAAATCTTTCAAACTCCCGCCAAACCAAATAACTATTTTTTTTTGCAGTTCATCAAAGAATCACTGCAACCACCATCTCGAAACAACGAGGAGAACGCTGAGCAAGCGTTGGAATTCGCGAATCTTTATCAAGTTTTAAGTGATAAAACACTAGGAAGTGGACAATTTGGAACGGTTTACTCAGCCATTCAAAGGCACTCTGGAAAGGAAGTGGCGGTGAAGGTAAGTGCGCTCTCTTGAGACTATTTTTTTTATTTTTGAATGTTGCCCCCCTTTCTTCCTGACTTCCCTGGCTCCCTTTGGAGCTGCGGCAACGCACCATGTTGTGTACGCCCTCCACACCAAGGCTAGAAGTGTGCGCTGTGGCGGAGTGCCTAACTCTTACACCCTTGGTCTAGCCAGGAGTGGACTTGTTGGTTCGACTCCTACCCAAAGCATTTTCCTTTTTTTTTCTTTTTTTTTCAATTGAAAGCCCAAAAACCTTTTTTCAGGTAATTTCCAAAGAGCGTTTCTCAAAGAAAGGGAGTGGAGCGGAATCGATGAGAGCCGAAGTGGCGATTCTCCAACAAACATGTCATCCCGGAATCGTTTGTCTGGAATTCATGTGCGAGACGAAGGATAAGATTTTTGTGGTGATGGAAAAGATGAATGGGGATATGTTGGAGATGATTTTGAGGTAAGAATATAAGCTTGAGAATTAAAAATGCTTAAAATTTGACTTTTTTGAAAGTTATTGAAAAAATTGAGTTTCCGTATATCTTCCCTTTGAGCTCAATTATCTCGATTCCTATAAAAGATATCAAAATTTTGTTAATTAATAAATTCTTTATCATAATATTAGCTACATTTTATCAGTTGACCACTTTTTGATATCTTTTATAGGAACCGAGATAATTGAGCTCAAAATGGACGGTTCGGGTGGTCTTCTAAGTACAATGATATAAAAATTTCAAATGACCATAACTTTTGAAATAATCGACCAATGATTGAGAAAATCATACAAAATTGTGAGAAATGTTCATTAATTTTAAGTAATATATAATTCAATAAATTTCATCAAAAACGAAAAAAGTTACAAGTTCTCCAATAGATGTCCAAAAATACCGAAATCACTCTGATAGAATGACCCTAAACTTCTACCGTTGACCTAGTTTATCTCGGTCCCTGTGAATGTTATCAAAAAATAGTCAAGTAATAAAATGTTGCTGGTTTTATGATAAACATTTTATCAGTTGACTACTTTTTGATATCTTCTACAGGAATCGAGATATAAATACTCAAAGTTAAGGCATTCTATTCACGGAATTTCAAAAATTGAAAAAAAAAGCATGTTCGCTCCAATGCAAACGTCCTAATCCCCCTTTTTTTCCAGTCAAGAACTGGGTCGCCTGAACTCTCGTGCCACCAAATTCCTGCTCGTTCAAATTCTCTGCGCCCTGAAATATCTACACGATCAAGGCATTGCTCATTGTGATCTAAAACCTGAAAATGTGCTTCTATCGGATATGGGCTCAAATTTTCCGCAAACGAAAATTTGTGATTTCGGATACGCCCGTTTTATTCCAGAGTCTCAGTTTAGGAAGACTGTAGTCGGTACGCCTGCGTATCTTCCTCCAGAAGTATTACAAAGAAAAGGATACAATAAATCATTGGATATGTGGTCCGTTGGAGTTATCATCTATGTCACACTTTCTGGAACATTCCCTTTCAACGAGGGAGAAGAGGTAAGTGCGCTCTATTGAGAATTTTTGAAAGAACTTTGTTTTACTTTTGAATAGAATACGTTGGAAACCTCGGGAAGTATCTAGAAGGATCCAGAAGGATCTGGAAGAGCCCAGAAAGATATAGAAGAATTTCATGAGCTCTCGAATTGTATTAGCAATAGAGCGCGTTTTCTGAATTCAATTATTTGAAATTTCCTATTGGGACTTCGAGTTCAGAATGCTCAAAAATGCAAATGCGCTCTATTTCAGATTTCGGAACAAATCCAAAACGCGTCATTCATGTTCCCAACGGAGCCATGGAGTGAAGTCGAACCATTGGCAGTTGATCTCATTCAGAAGCTGCTTAAAGTCGAGGTACTGTATTTTTGAAGAATTTCAAAAATTTTCCATATTTTGGTATTAATTTTTTCAAAAATCGGGTGCAAATTTTCAAATTTAGAGGATTATTGTAATTTTTTTTTGGAACTCAAAGATTACTGTAGGTTTTAAAGAGATGATTTTGGGCAAATTTTCGAAATTGAAGGATTACGGTAGTTTTTTTTCGAATCGGAGATAATTCTGATAGGTGCAATTTGAAAAGAGAAATTAGCCTTCCAATTATTCTAGATATGTACGCGAAATTCAGCGCAAGGTAAGTTTATATTGAGACTTTCAAGCCATCAAAAATGGTAGTATAATGAGCCGCAGATACAGCACTTGGAAGTTTTTCCTGAGGCTAAGTGACTACAAACTACAAATTGCTATAAGCCTCAGTCAAAACTTTGCAGCGTAGTTTCTCGACTCGTTTTCAACCATTTTCGATGGTTTTAGGCTCAAAATTTCTAAAATTTCAAGCAGAACTCTTCAGTGCTTTAGACTTTTGAAAATTTTTAAATCAACTTTTAAACTTTAAACTTTTAATCAACATAAAAATCAAGAAATGGATTACTGTAGTTGTTTCTTTAAAAGTTAGAAATGAAAAATGAAGGTTACGGTAGTTTTTTTTCGAAAGTATGGGTTACTGTGTTCTGTGGATTGTGTGAAAAGTTCTGTGAAAAGTGAGGGTTAAAAAAAGGATTAATGTAGTTTTTTTGATAATTAGGATTGCAGTAGCCTTTGAAATGAAGATTACTGTAGTTTTTTTTCGAAATGGAAGGATTACGGTAGCTTTTCTTTCGGAATATGAGGAGTACTGTAGATTGTTGAAAAAAGATTACTGTAGCTTTTCAAATTAGGATTACTGTATTTTTTTTAAGGATTACGATAGATTTCTGAATGATGATTACGATAGCTTTGTTTCTAAAATATGGATTACTGTAGATTTATTTTTTTTTTAATATTTAAATATTTTTCCAGATCGAAGCACGAATGTCTATAGAAAAGTGTCTGGAGCATGGATGGTTGAAAGGAGAACAGTTGTATCGAGATTTACGAGATTTGGAGGTTCGGTTGAATACACCGAGGTTCGTTTTTTTTCAAAATTATTTTGAAAACATTTGAATTCAAATTTCCAATTTTTTGAACCAAAAATTATGAAAAACGATGCATAACTAGCTGAGTTATGTGTTAGGTTCACTGGAGCGCATTTGCTTGTTTTGAATTTTCGAAATGGAAGTTTTTGAAGTTGAGGCGTTCAATTTCTAACAATTACATTCGAAAATCGCTTTAAAATTCATGAAAATAATCAAATTATAGGCTTTTAAATTTTTTATCAATAGAGCGCGTTTTCTAACTTTCGAATTTTGAATTTCGAAAAACTGAAGTTTCAATTTTGTGAAATATGAAATTCCCTATCTACTTCTTTCTAAGGAAACTTTTCTGTGTGTCTGTGTGTGTGTCCGTCTCGGACATTAACTTGAATAACTCAAAGGCGCGTGGGACTCCTATAGTGGTGTGTGGTATGTAGTCATGGACTGCCGAGCGCTTCATGTCTATGGTGTCCTGGGCCTTCTAGCTTATAGGGAAGCTACAGTGTTGAGAATTGAAAATTTCAAAACTATGCTCAAACTCAATAAAACTTCACGAAATTTTGCAAAACGGTTTTTTGGCCTATCTGTGCGTTGCCTACATGAAATTGAGCACAAATCTTCAGAACTGAAAAATTTCGAAAATTTCGTTTTTTTTTTATTATCACTTGAATTTCGATCCTGTGGACTACTGTAAATGGGTCATAGTAGTTTCCTTTTGAATACAAGGTTCTTAAGTTATGCGGAAAATTCTAGAAAATTCCAGAAAATTCCAGAAAAATCCAGAAAATTCTAGAAAGTTCCAAAAAATTAAAGAAAGTTCCAGAACATTCTCGAAAATTCCAGAAACTTCCAGAAAGATCCAGAAAATTCCAGTAAATTCCAGAAAATTCCAGGAAGCTCAAGAAGATTCTAGAAAATTCCAAAAACTTCCAGAAAGATCCAGAACATTCTAGAAAATTCCAGAAAATTCCAGAAAATTCCAGAAAATTCCAGAAAATTCTAGGAAATTTCAGAACATCCTAGCAATTTAAGGGGTAAAAAATCCGCGATTCGGGGGTACAAAATACTATACAAATACTGAAAAAGGGTCAGTTTTGTACTCCCAAACTGTGAGTTTTGTACCCCTTTGTACCCCCGAATTGTTGTATCCTCCAAACGTTTTGCCTGAAAAAAAGGTGAAGCGTTCTCTATAAGTATACAGGTATTGTAATCACTTCCCTAATTTTTCAAGGTGATCTGAAACCAAAGGCTTAGAATTAGGGATGTGTGTGGGTTTTTTTAATATCTGAATTTCAGAAACCCTAACAATCTGTAATCAGAAAATCCAGGAACATTCTAGGAAAAACAAGAGATTCTGTATGTGGGCATCTATTCGAGAAAGTACGGTATTCAAAAATTCCGATATCGGGAAAATATTACTTTTGAAAATGAAGAAACTCGGAAATTTCGGACACACGGAAAGTGGGAATTTCTGAAATTAGGAATTCAAATGTCTTAAATCTTTGAAACTAACTGATTTATGAACCTCAAAACGAGTATTAGCAATAAAGCGCGTTTTCGGAATTTCGAAAAAAAAATTTTTTCATTTCTAATTTAATGATTTGAACCTATTTTTAATTTCCTATATTTTGCACTAAAAACCATTTAATAATCTTGAAAACTAGCCGAATTACGACGAATTTTCTAAAAATTCTCAATGGAGCGCATTTTCATTTTTCTGAAATTCAAAATTTTCAGATACCTAACCAGTCCTCAAGACGATGTTCTCTATGGTCCGCTTCGTTAATCAGTTTCCTAAATATTCTTAATTTATTTCCAAATAATCGGTGCTCACTCTCCCATTATGCAAGTCTGCTCTATTGAGAATTTCTCAATGGAGCGCATTTGCCCCACATATCTTGCATAATAATTCTCCACATGTACATCATCTCATTTCTCTTGTCAAATCACTTTTTCTCTTTCTTTCTACTTTTCAATTTCAACAAAAAAATGCAATGTTCTCTGTCTGTGTGTCTGTTTGTCCGGAAATTTAATGAAAATTTAAATTTTTTGATTTTTTTGAAATTTCGATTTTTCTGTTTCCTTCTGATCAATTTTTCAACTCTTTTTGTATCGATTTCAGCTTTAAAATTCAATTATTCCTTTTGCGCGTCAGGTATGGTGCATCGGCCGCAATGCACATTTTCAGTCATAAATTAGCGCGAAATTTTAGATTTTTAATTTTTCAACCGAATTTTTTGGCATTTTTTGACGATTTCTTTGATTTTTGTGGATTTTTCAGCCAAATTTTGTGCTAAAATTCGTTTTTTAGTTCTATTTTCATTTAAAAATCTTATGAAATTCAAAAAAAAGTGAAAAATTCATTTATATCTCAATTAATTGAAAAATTATTAAACAAATTGATAATTAGGCTCCTCATTTTGATAGTTCTCAGGTGATGGGAAAGTGTCATGCCAGACAAAGAATACGAAATAGAATTTGGAGATTCCAGATCGAGTTTCAGACAAAAGTCGAATAGTAGCCAGGGTTCCATCGGTGCTTTTCTTGATATCACTTCCTTCTGAGCAATCAAAAAAGTTGAAATCCTTTTGGAAGAATCGGCGGAATCTGAAAATTTGAACTTTATTTAAACTAACTCAATCCTAATGGTTTTAGTGCCAAAATGTATGAAATCTTCTCAATTTTTCAAAAATCTAAAAAAAATTTTTTTTGAAAACTTTTATTATTATTTTTAGAATCTGTAACATGTTCGGTCTGAATTTCTTTCTCTATAATTATTTTTTGAAGCTTTCAAATTATTCAACTTTGATATGTTTTTCATAAAATCTAGATCTTAATAAAAAATGTTTTATACAATTTTTCCCGAAATTCTAATAGTTATAACTTTTGATCCAGATTACTTTGTTTAGAGAATTTCATATTTTTCAATAGAAATTTTTACTGGCTTTAATTTGGTATAATTTTCATCAAATTTGGACTAATACTCGAAAAGTTATGGGTTCTCCAAAAAAATCCAAAAATTTTCATAAAAATGTTTTCCCCATAATTCTAAAAGTCATAACTTTTGACCTGGATAACTGTTTTTTGTGAATTTTAAACCGAAAAATAGGAAATTGTATAAACTTCAATTTGATATAATTTTTAATAAAATCTAGATGGAAATCCAAAATTTTGGGACTCTCCAAAAACAATTCAAAATTTTAATTTGAAAAATTTTTCCCGAATTTCTAAAAATCATAACTTTTGATCCAAATTACTTATTTGGTAGAATTTTATAATTTTGAATAGAAAATTTTACTGGCTTTAATTTGGTATAATTTTCATCAAATTTGGACTAATACTCAAAAAGTTATGGGTTTTCCAAAAAACAAATACTTACGCCGCCTTATAGACAAACGTCTTTGCCCTTCTGTTCGAATCCCATTGAAAAGTGTCGATTCCATTCAAAACTTCTGAAAATCCCCACGTGTTTTCAGTTGTTGACAAAATTACAGTATCGATAGTATCCAAATTTCCAGTAATCCATAGTTCCAAAAATCGAAGCAAATTTGAAGTTTTAATAAATTTCGAGTTCTCAAAAACCGCATTTTTTCCTTGAAAATTGTATAGGTGATACGGTAGAAGCCACGTGGCGTTTTCCAAAAAGACGTTGGGAATTCTCATGATTGGAGTGTTTTCTTGCATGGGTCCACGAACGCTTTGTTCACTGATAAAACAGTTTTCCACGTGGATTTTTGAGAAGAATCTTTCGAAAACTTTAGGATTGACATACTGGCAATAGGTATCGATAATTGCGTTCTTGACCGATTTCAAATCTTTTGGAAAATCGGAAAAATCAGTTCTTCGAAGTCTTAATTCCTTGATTTGAGTGATTTGAAATAGGTCCTTGACGTAGTTAAAGAATTGAACGGGTGCCAATTTACTACTGTAGTCGTCGTTACCCTCGATGCATAGAATGGGCGGTTTGTCAGGCTTGTGATGGATTTTCAGTCTGGAAATTTAAATTTTTGAAAAATTGAGAACATTTCCTACATTTTGATACGAAAACCATTAGGATCGAGTTAGTTTAAATAAAACAAAAGCAGTTTGACAATTTGAAGCTTCGAAAAAAATAAATTTTGAGTATTTTTTTTTTCGAAAACCCATAACTTTTTGAGTTGTATTCCAAATTATATGAAAAGTATACCAAATTGAAGCCAATGAAAATTTCTCTCAAAACATATGAAATTCTAAAAATATGTGACTCCGATCAAAAGTTATGATTCTTAGAATTTGGGCGGAAAAAATTTTTTGCGATAAAAAAATCAATTTTTGGAAAACCCATAACTTTTTGATTTTCAGTCCAAATGTGATGAAAAATATACCAAATTAAAGCCAGTGAAATTTTCTATTCAAAATTATAAAATTCTACCAAATAAGTAATTTGGATCAAAAGTTATGATTCATAGAATTTCAACATTTAAAAAATTGTCGAAAAAATTTGTCATTATTTTTGTTTGAAAAGTCCCAAAATTTTGGATTTTCATCTAAATTTTCTGATTTTTATATCAAATCAAAATTCGTAAAATTCCGTATATTTTGATATTAAATTCATAGAAATCAGTATTCTAGATCAAAAGTTATGACTATTAGAATTTCTTAGAAAAATTAAATTTTTGCAAAAAAAAATTTTTTTTTTTGAAAATTTAAATTTTCAAAATTTTCGATTTCTCCTAATTAAAAAAAACCAACCTAAACTTCAAAACCATTCCATCCTCAAACTCCATCTTTGTCAATTTTGAATCTCCCGGGCCCGCTCCATTCCTATTACTATTCCCCGTAATCTTCCACTCAACCGCATTCACAAATTGCTCATCCTTAAAACTACCGTAGCACGAAATGGCCAAAAATCCAGTGAAATAGGTCTCACTCGAAAATCGAATCGCCTTGAATCGATTTTTCGATTTTCGAATCGTCGATTTTGAATTTTTCGAGCAAATTGACATGAAAAAGAGCTCATGAGCTTGCATAGCCTCGAATATTAAGTGCTGTACCGAGTCGGGGAATTTGAGAATTTTCATTTTCGAGAAATTTCCGAATAGGCTGCTCCAAATGAACGTAGAAGGTGTCCGTCCGCTTTGCTCTCTCCTTCCCTCTGATCCCCTTCTCTATTTCTCTAACACTCTCTCATTTCGTCACACTCTCTAATCGCTGGACCTCATAATTAATTTGGTTAATAAGCTCTCGGGATGTTGTTCGTTCTTCCAAAATGGGACAGGCACAATAATAACAAGTCGGGGTGTTGTATAGTTTGTAGTCTTTTATTCATGGCGGGAATATTTGAAATTATTGTGCATTTGATGAATGGGAAATAATTAATTGAAAATTTTAAGGAAAATTTCCGGAATTTTAGGTGATAATTAGACATAATTAGGGTAATTAAAAGAGAAAAACAAACAGTTAAAAATTGAATTAAAATCAATCAATTCCGATTAAAAAGACCCAGACCGCCGATGCGTTTCTTCATGGTTCCACCGGCGGCTGCTGGCGGTGGTGGGCTGGATTTGGCGGTCGAATTCAACGTGGAATTCTGACTACTATTCTCGTTATATGTTGTTGCCAACGACGTCTGAGAAGACGTCAGTGTTCCGTTTCGAAGTTCGCCGATTTCATGTCGAAGACGGATGATTTCCGCACGTTTCGCGTCGATTTTTTGACGATTTTGGAGTTCGAACTCTTCGAGGGCCGACATTCGCTCATCGTTGCGTTGCTTGCGAGCCGCCGTTTTTTCGTTGAACACCTGAAAAGAAAATAATTTTGAATGTTTAACTGAGGCTTAGAAAAAAACTGTAGTTTGTAGTGCATTTTTCTCAGTAAAAAAATCCGCAAAATCTTACTGAGGCTGGCGTCCCCTAGAAATAAGGAAAAATCGAGAAATTTAGAGCCAAAAACGGCTGAAACCGAGCCAAATTACAGCGTTTTTAAGTTTTACTGAGGCTTACGAAACATTGTAGCTTGTAGTGTAAGCCTCAGTAAACCAGCTGCCGGCAAATGAATGTTTACAGAGGCTAAAAACTACAGAAGCTTCTGAGCCTCAGTAAAATTAAATTTGCCGGTAGCTAGTTTACTGAGGCTTAGAGACTACAAACTACAAAATTTTATAAGCCTCAGTAAACCTCGCTTCGATCTTTACTGAGGCTTATGAAAATTTGTAGTTTGTAGTGTGTTAGCCTCAGTGAACAACTTCGCAAAAGCTTTACTGAGGCTTATAGACTACAAACTTCATAAGCCTCAGTAAACCTCGCTTCAACTATTACTGAGGCTTTTCGTCAAATTTTTTGGAAAATTTTTTCGAGACTACAAACTACAAAGTTTTTTAAGTCTCAGTAAACCGAAAAGCCACGTGGCAAACAACATAATTCGCTCAGGAATCAATTTTTAACAAAACAGTATATTTTTCTTCCTAGCGTTTTCATTTTTGTGTTTTTGCTTGACTGAAATTGTAGTTTGCAGTCTTAACGCCTCAGTAAACTCAGAAGCCTCGTGGAAAAAATTTGAGTTTTGTAGTTTGTAGTCTAACTCACTCTCTCCAAAGTCTCCCGTTTCTCCGCCAAATCTTGCTCTTTTTGACGTTTTTCGTCTTCCAAATGGGTGAATGGGTCGCTGAAAACTATTTTGCATTATGCGCTCCATTGATAATAACCAACCGATTCTTCTCATTCTTCGGCAGTCCCTCCATTTGTCTGTATCTAAAGTTCTCATAATGCACATTCCGGGTCACATCGATCATATCAATCAGATTCGTTCGAATAATCATATCTCTGAGTGTCAAAAAATCATTGTGCTCCATATTTTCGACCTCAACAGTTCCCCATGGATACTCTCGATAGCGAATGCTCCGCCCATCTTTTTGCTTCAGCATGTTCGATCCGATGATCGCGAATGGGAGCGCTTTTCGGAGTTTCTCCACCTTCTCCTTGTCCAGCGATGAATCTTCCAGTTCCGGAAACTTGTATAGCTTGATCTCCGCCGCCTCGGCGTCCTTGACAATTTGCGCTTTGAAGCGACGAAGCTCATCGCGTGTCAAGCAGTCGGCTTTAGCGATGACTGGAACGATATTCACTCGTCCATGTAAATGTTTCATCAGCTCGATATCGATTGGTTTCAGTCCATGGCCTGATGGTTCAATGAAATAGAGACATAGATGGACGCATTTGTCGACTGGCTTATCGCCACGATCGATTCTCGTCTCTTCGCAGAATTGTTGAAAGAATTTGCCTTCCACGTAGTTCACTATCGGCTCGTAGCTGAAAATCAGAAGATAGAACGGCTAGAAGAGGTGATGTTGTCGAAAAAGCCACGTGGCGCCGCAGCTTCAGCTGAGGAAGAATATTCTCTTCGAAGAACTATACCAGCAAAACTTGGGAAATGCCACGTGGCTTGTTTGACTGGAACGTCGCCATAAGAGCATTTAGCTACTTAGCTCTCTCTATCAATCGCCACGTGGCACCTAGAAATTGTGACTCACCATTTGGAATTATTGACGGCGTCACCGAATCCGGGTGTATCCACAAGTGTCAAATTCAACGAAACACTGTTCTCGAGAAGTCTCACAAGCTTCTCTTCGACACGAACCGTCGATGGAAGTGGAGACGCGACATGGGCGGCCTCTTTCTCGTTCAAATTGTTGATTTCCGCCAGGAAGAGGGTGTTGATGAATGTTGACTTGCCAAGACCGCTTCGACCTGTAGAAAAAAGAAGAAAATCCAGAAATTTTGAGCCAGAAATGGCAAAAATTAGCCGAATTACAGCGCGTTTTTAGTTTTACTGAGGCTTAGGAAATCATATAGTTTGTAGTGCGTTAGCCTCAGTAAACAATTTCGCTGAATTTGAAATTTTACTGAGGCTGATAGACTACAAGCTACGGAACTTCCTAAGCCACAGTAAAACTCAGTGCAACTTTTACTGAGGCTTATGGAAATTTGTAGTTTGTAGTGCGTTAGCCTCAGTAAAACTTCAAAGCGTTGTAACTCGGCTTATTTTCACTCGTTTCGGGTCGTTTTTTGGCTAGAATTTCGTCAAATTTTTTGAGACTACAAACTACAAAGTCTTCTTAGCCTCAGTAAATCGAAAATCCACGTGGCTGAAATTATAATTCGCTCACAATCAGGAATCAATTTCTAACAAAAAAAGCAAAATTTTTTTCGAAAGCAACTTTTGTAGTTTGTAGTCTAAGCCTCAGTAAACTCACCAACAACCATCAACGTGAAATCGAATCCATTTTTCACGGCGCGCCGGAAGACTTGATTGGGGAAGTTGGCGAATCCCCAATAGTTTTGGGTCTCCTTCTGACCGTCGGATTTCGAAGAGCTGATTGATGTTGTATTGGTAGTTCGACTACTCATTTCTGAAAATTTCAGGCGGGAAATTTGAAAATTTGAAGGTTCTGGAGAGGACAAAGAGGGAGAAGAAGCTTCTTATTATTTGAGAAAGGGCTATATGTGCGTAGTACATGTGTGTATGGGTCATTCGAATATAAAATCAATTGAGCGAAGCGACGAGGAGAGAGAAGACAGATGTGCACTGCGAATAGGACGTATGTGTGTGCGCGGATGACCGCTGCGCGAAATGACAGCTGTAGGAGATGGACAGAGGTCAGTTGAATGTGTCTCGATTGACGGAAATGGGATGAGGATTCGGCTTGGAACACCGAAAAACATTGAAATTCGAATTTATCAGCGGGAAGCCGTTCAAAATGGGTCAAGGACATAGAAAAATGACGGAAAACACCTGAAAACCCCTTTAAAAATTATATGAATTTTATTATTGTTCAAGATTCCTCTTTTTTCTTACTCGATTCAAATTGAAATCCAATTAAAAACCTCGAAAATCGTTGAAAAATCCGAAAAAAATCTAGATTCGAATCTCGCGGGGTTAAACCTTTTCGCTGCGAGATATCGGTGTCGATTTACGCGGTGCGCCTTTAAACGAAGCATTTTTTTCGGGGAAAAATTTTTCTTTTTTCACCCATTTCAATGGTTAAAAATCGATTTTTGAGGGTTTTCTAGGTTAAAAATAAGTAAAAAAGTTGAAAATTATCGTATTTTTGTGTTTTAGTAAGCCTGTATCTGTGAAATATCGAGAAAATGAGCTGAAAACGTACTTAAAAATTTTTTAAGTTAACACTTGATGTGCTTCTGTCAAAAATCGCTTTTTTGAGGGCTTTCTTTTGCTAAATTTAGGAAAATGTTGCATTTTTGAATTTTAAGTAAGCCTTGATCTGTAAAAATCGAGAAATTGAGCTGAAAATGTCATTTTCAAAAATTGAAAACTGTTGTTCGTAATTCCTCTTTCTCCCGCTAATTCTGTGCTGATTTTCATCTATATTCTGTTTCAAATTTCAATTTTCAGACTTCACTCGGCTTGTTGTAATATATAAAATAACAAAGAATGCCGCAGAACGAGCACATTGAGCTACACAGAAAACGTCACGGACGTCGTCTCGATTATGAGGAGAGACAGTGAGTTCTTATCCTTGAAATTCTGAAAAAAAAATTCTAAAATTCCGAATTTTCCAGACGCAAGAAGCTGGCTCGTGCCGCACACGACCGCTCTCAAATGGCGAAGACGTTGCGTGGACACAAAGCGAAGCTGTACCACAAGAAGAGATATTCGGAGAAGGTGGAGATGCGTAAACTTCTGAAGCAGCACGAGGAGAAAGAGCAGAAGAATACAGTGGAGCAACCGGATAAGGGAGCCGTGCCAGCGTATCTCCTTGACAGACAGCAGCAGACGTCAGGAACAGTTCTCTCGAATATGATTAAGCAGAAAAGAAAGCAAAAGGCAGGAAAATTCAATGTTCCAATACCTCAAGTACGCGCTGTCAGTGATGCCGAGGCATTTAAAGTGGTGAAAACTGGAAAAACGAATCGAAAAGGATGGAAGCGAATGGTCACAAAAGTCACATTCGTTGGAGAGTCTTTCACTCGGAAGCCCGCCAAATTCGAACGATTCATTCGCCCGATGGGACTTCGATTCAAGAAGGCGCACGTTACACATCCAGAACTTCAGACGACGTTCCATTTGCCGATTGTTGGTGTCAAGAAGAATCCATCCAGTCAGATGTACACATCGCTGGGTGTTATCACAAAAGGAACCATCATCGAGGTGAATGTCTCCGAGCTGGGAATGGTGACACAGGGAGGAAAAGTAGTTTGGGGAAAATTCGCACAAGTCACCAACAACCCGGAGAACGATGGATGCATCAATGCTGTTCTTCTCATTTGATTCCGAAAACTTCATGATCTTTATTCTGCGTTCGCTCTTTTCTTTGTTGATTTTATCATTGTTTTCTCTTTCCACCCAAAAATAAAGTTGATTCTTACTCGTTTATTATGAAATCCGAAATCCAGGTGAAAATGCAAATTTCAACAGAAATTTCTCATAAGTACGCAATACTCGACACTGCGGCATCATAACTGACGCGCAATTGCACACAATTGTCGTGTCCACTCATCAATTCTTACACTAATAAACTAAGGGATTCTGGAGCTATTTTTCCAGAATTTTGCACTTTTTTAACTAAAAAAAAGGAAAAAATGACACAAATTTTGCAGGGAATGCGACCATAGAACTTTCTAGAAATGCAACAAGTGTCGACCGGTTCTTCAACAAAGAAATCGATTGGCAACATGTTTTTAAGAAGTGGAATAGAGAAAATTCTAGCTGATAAGGATATTAAGAAAAAGGAGAATTTGCAGCTCAAAAAAGCTTGTGATAATGCACTGGGTGAGCTTTTTTCTTTCGAAATTGTTGGCTGAAAAAAGGTCAAAAACCGTGAGAAAATGCATTCAATATTGTGAAAAAACCGGAAAAAACGAAAAATTCTCGAAATTTTGCTTTAAAAATCATCAAAAACGGTTGAGAAAGAGCTGAAATCCATCGATTTCAAGTTTTACTGAGGCTTAGCGAAAAATAGTAGTTTGTAGTTTAAGCCTCAGTAAAAGCTGGAGAGATTCACTGAGGCTTAGCGACTACAAACTACAGAAGTTTCTAAGCCCAGTAAAATTTATCTTACTGGCAGCTAGTTTACTAAGGCTCAAAGAATAAAAACTACAAATTTTCATAAGCCTCAGTAAAAATTAGAAACGCAGTAGCCCGGCTCATTTTCAACCGATTTTCATAATTTTTGTCTCATTTTTACTCATTTTCCGGCAGTTTTGTTACTGGGCCGTTTTGATTTTTTAGTTTGTAGTCTTTGAGAATGGCTGGAAATTGCTGAAAAAAAAGCTGAAACATTGTAAACTCCCATGAAGGGATTCTGTAGTTTATAGTCTTTAGAAATGAGCAGAAAATAGTCGAGAAATGAGCTGAAAACCACTAAAATCCAGCGAAAATGAGACATTTTGAATTTTTTACTGAAGCTTACGGATTTTGTAGTTTGTAGTCTCTAAAAAATTCTGAAAAAACGAACTAAAAATCACTAAAATTCGTTGAAATAGCCTGTTTGAAATTTTTAATGAGGCTTAGCGAAAAATTTTAGTTTGTAGTTTAAGCCTCAGTAAAACTTGGAATGATTTACTGAGGCTAAATACACTACAAACTACAAAAGCTTCTAAGTCTCGGTAAAACTTAACTTGTCGGCTGCGAGTTTCCTGAGGCTTAACAACTACAAACTACAACTTTTCATAAGCCTCAGTAGAATTTCAAAACGCTCATTCTCACCTATTTTTGGTCGCTTTTGGCTGTAATTTCTGGATTTAGAGCCTAAAACTACAAACTACACATTTTCTTAAGCCTCAGTGAAATTCCGAAGTGCTGTTATCTGACTCATTCTCACTCGTTTTCGGTCGTTTTCAGCTCCAAACTCCTTTTTTCCATAGAAAAAATCTGTTCAAATCAAATTATATAATTTCTATTCAATGTCTAGACCCCAAAAACTTAATTTTTCCCCTGCAGAAGAGATAAAACTTGCCGAAGAGCAAGCGGGCACAACGAGTAGCAGTAGCAGTAACGGCGAACATCTGCCAGATGCCACCGGAGCTCTCATCGAAGCCGATCGATATTTCTTGCCGTTCGAATTGGCATGCAACTCGAAGAATCCACGTGTCGTGATCACAGCTTTGGATTGTCTTCAGAAGCTGATAGCCTACGGTCATTTGACTGGAAGAGGTCCGGATACATCGAATCCCGAGAGAAAACTCATTGATCGAATTGTCGAGGCGATTTGTGCTCCGTTTTTGGGTCAAGGAACCGATGAGAATGTGCTGTTGCAGTTGATAAAAGTGAGGGATTTTTGCGATTTTCGAAATTATGGGAAAAACGCATTTTGGAAAAATTTCCTGCTTAAAAAAAAAGCAAAAAAAACCCCCATAAAACCAGTGAAAAAAGTTGCAGGCAGTTCTCGCCGTAGTGCTCTCGAAACACTGTCAAGTGCATGGAGCATCACTGATTCTCGCAGTTCGAACGTGTTTCAACATCTATCTAACGTCGAAAAATCATGTGAATCAGGCGACGGCGAAAGCTACACTGACTCAAGTGATTAGTACGGTTTTTGGGAGGATGGAGATGTTTGGGAATATTAAAGATGATGAGACCGTAGTACGGGAAGTCGTGGAAATGTTAGTGGCGACGACGGTGTCCAATGAAGCGGTGAGAATTGATTTTTTTTAACGAGCCAATTTGGAGTTTTTACTGAGGCTTAGCGACAATTGTAGTTTGTAGAAGCTGTATGCAATTTGAAGTTTGCAGAAACTACTGTAGGCTACTGTATACCAAACAAAATTCCGAAATTTTTCTCTGAAATTCTCAAAAGCTACGAAAATTTCCTTTTTACTGAGGCTTAGGGATTTTGTAGTTTGTAGCCTCTCGAAAAAGTCTGAAAAAAATGAGCTGAAAATCACTAAAATTCGTTGAAAACTAGCCAAATGGGAGCTTTTACTGAGGCTTAGCAAAAAAATTGTAGGTTGTATTCTCTAAGCCTCAGTGAAAGTTGGAGAGATTTACTGAGGCTAAATACACTACAAACTACAAAAGCTTCTAAGCCTCAGGAAAATTCAATTTGTCGACAGCTAGTTTACTGAAGCTTATAGACTACAAACTTCAAAATTTCCATAAGCCTCAGTAGAAATTAAAAACGCTGTAGCTCGGCTCATTTGCAACTTGTTTTCATGATGTTTGGGTCATTTTTACTAATTTTCTGGCGGTTTTGTAGTTTTGTGAGCTTCAAAAGTAGTTTAAAAATATGTTGATGTTTTACTGAGGCTTTTCGATTTGGTAGTTTTTAGTCTTTGAAAATTAGCTGAAAATAGCCGAGAAACGAGCTGAAAATCGCTGAAATTCGATTAAAACGAACCTTTTTACTGAGGCTTAGGGATTTTGTAGTTTGTAGTCTCTGAAAAAATTCTCTAGCGATGAGCTGAAAATCACTAAAATTCGTTGAAAACGTGCCAGTTTGGAGCTTTTACTGAGGCTTAGTAAAAATTGTAGATTGTAGTGTAAGCCTCAGTAAAGCGTAGAATGGTTCACTGAGGTTAAATACACTACAAACTACAAAAGCTTCCAAGCCTCAGTAACACATGGTATGTCGGCAGTTCACTGAGGCTTTGAGAATGAAAACTACAAATTTCCCTAAGCCTCAGTAAAAAGTTTCAAAACGCTATATTTTTTCGAAGTTGCAATTTTTGCTATAAAATGAGAATTCAAATTCTGAAATCACGATTTTCTGATTTTCCTAATTTTCTGAAACTCAAAAATTTGCAGACAGACGAAACTAGCGAAGGAGGCGGTACCCATCGACCCGCTGGCTCAACAATAGGAGAATCCGAAGCCCCACTAGATGATCAATTCACATTTCAAAATTCGTATCAAAAAGATGCATTTCTCGTATTCCGAGCCCTCTGTATACTCGCCCAGAAAGAAGAAGGAGGTCCATCAAACGAAATGTCACTTCGATCCAAAATTCTTGCCCTCGAAATGCTTTTACTCGTTCTCCAATCCTCGTCATCAGTCCTTCAATCTTCTCAACCTTGTATTATAGTCATTAAAAGGACATTGTGCATGGCGTTGACTCGAAACGCAGTCAGCTCCAACATCCAGGTGTTTGAGAAGTCGTTAGCCATCTTTGTGGAGCTTCTAGACAAATTCAAAGCCCATTTGAAAGCCTCCATTGAGGTATTCTTCAATAGTGTGATTCTCCCAATTTTGGATTCGAATACCTGTGCTTTTGAACAGAAATGGATAGTTTTGAACACGATTGGTGGGTTACTGTAGGTTTTTAAGCTATTTTGTAGACTTGAATTTTCAGCGAAAATTCTGGCGAATCCTCAGTCTGTGGTTGATATGTTTGTAAATTACGATTGTGATATGACGTCTCCAAATCTGTTTAAATCGATTGTAGAGGTTGTTTCCAAGACGACAAGGACCACGATCAATGAGAATTCACCACCGGCGCAGAAGGAAAAGTGAGGGGTTGTTTTATTGCATAAAAATGTGTAGAAAAAAGGCAGACTACAAACTACAAATCGCTAGAGCCATTTTCGTTTTGGTTTCGTTCGATTTGGACCACTGTGAGCTGAGATACAGGCGAAGTGGTTTTAATGAGGCTTAGACTACAAACTAGAATTTTCTCTAACCCTCAGTAAACTCCTTTTTTGCTTTACTGAAAAATTGAAAAGTTTCGAGAGAAATTGACGGTTTTTTAATCCAATTTTTCGCAAAATTTTTAGACCTTTTTAGGTTTTTCACCTATTTTTGAAGATTCCTTTTCGATTTTTCCGAATTTTTTTGTCTGAAATTTGATGGCATGGTGTTCAAGGTTACTGTAGATTACTGTAGAAATTCCTTTGGTAGCTTTTTTTCTCAAAAACAACAACGTCAAAATGCAGATGAAATTGTGTCTGCCAAAAAAAAAAACTACAAAAATAATTTCTACAGTAACCTACAGTAATCTGGAACACCATCCCATCAATTTGCAGACAAAAAAATCGGAAAAATCGAAAAAGAATCTTCAAAAATAGCTGAAATATCTAAAAGGGCCTAAAAATTCAGCAAAAAAATTGGAGAAAAAATCAATTTGCCTTTGGAAAAATTGCTCTAAAAATCGCCAATTTTTCTCGAAAAATTTCAATTTTTTTCAGTAAACCAAAAAAGGAATTTACTGAGGCTTAGAAATTTCGTAGTTTGTAGTCTAAGCCTCAGTAAAATCAGAGAAGAAAGAGAACCTTCCAGAACGAATTTTTCGAGATTTAGCGGACTTTTTCTTTGTTTCTAGGTGAATCTTCATATTTATCTACTAATTTTAATGCAATAAACAATTTTTAAGATTACCAAATCATTCTTATCCTTCCAGAGAACGAGCAATGCGACTCCTTGGTCTCAGCTGCCTCACAGACCTCCTCCAGTGTCTTGTGGATTGGTGGCAAGTCTGTGAAGTTCAAAAAATCACCTCTGACATCGATGAAGCCGTGGAGGCCAACGAAGCTCCTGGCGATGAGACCACCTTCGAGAAATTCGAGAATCTAAAACACCAAAAGAATCTAATGGAGCAAGGAATTCAATTGTTCTCCGAGAAGCCCAAAAAGGGTCTGAAATTCCTCCAAGATCACGGATTCGTTGGAACCGATGCCATAGAAGTCGCAGAATTTATGATGAAGGAGGAAAGATTGAATAAAACACAAGTTGGAGACTTTCTAGGAGATTCTGATGAATTCAATAATTCTGTAATGCATGCCTACATTGATTTCCTTGACTTCTCATCGATTGATATTCTTGCGGCACTTCGATTGTTCTTGGAAAAGTTCCGTCTACCTGGAGAGGCTCAGAAGATCGATCGACTGATGCTGAAATTCGCCTCCCGCTATTTGGACTGTAATCCACGTCAAGGGATCTTCGCCTCCGCCGATGCCGCCTATGTTCTAGCATTTTCAATCATCATGCTAACCACAGACCTGCATAATAAGACTGTAAAGAATAAGATGACAAAGCAAGGATACATAAATATGAACAGAGGAATTAACGAGGGTGGAAACATCCCAACTGAGCTTCTAGAAGCAATTTTTGAAGACATTTCCAAGAACGAAATCAAGATGAGGGCCGGAGCAACTGCATTGCTCAGATCTCGCGTCACACCAGGACAAGGGGCCCTGGCAACAGATAAGGAGCGAAGGGCAATGGCTGCGTTGGAAATGGAGGCGTTGTCCGAAACAGCAAGAGCGTTAATGGAATCGGCATCTGACGCCGACGCATTCTTCACACCTGCACAACACCAACATCACGTGAAACCAATGTTCAAGATCTGTTGGACCCCTTGCCTAGCCGCGTTCTCTGTAGGCGTCCAAATGTCAGATGACGAGGAGGAATGGTCGTTGTGTCTACGTGGATTCCGCTTAGGAGTACGGGCGGCGTGTGTACTTCAAGCAAACCTAGAACGGAATGCATTCATCCAGGCGTTGGCTAGATTCACATTGCTCACTGCGAAGAATTCGTTGGGAGAGATGAAAGTGAAGAATATCGAAGCGATCAAGCTGCTTTTGTTGATTGGAGACGAGGATGGACAGTTTTTGGAGGAGAATTGGGTTGATGTGATGAAGTGTATGAGTTCGTTGGAATTGGTACAACTCATTGGTACCGGACTCAACAGTGCCATGTCCCATGATAGTGATAGTAGTCGGCAGTGTGAGTTGTTTTCTTTTTTGCTGTAAAAATCATCAAAAACGGTTGAAAATGAGCTGAAATACATCGATTTCAAGTTTTACTAAGGCTTAAGAAACTTGTTGTAGTTTGTAGTTTTGAAACTTGGACAAATTTTGAGCCAAAAACGGCTGAAAACGGCCGAAAAATAGCAGAATTACAGCAATTTCACATGTTTACTGAGGCTAAGAAAGTTTTGTAGTTTGTAGTCTAAGCCTCAGTAAAAACTGTCTTTACGACTAGTGAAAACTTTACTGAGGCTTAGAGGAACTTCTAGTTTCTAGTTTTCTAAGCCTCAGTAAAATCTACTAGTGAGCACTTTACTGAGGCTTAGAAATTTTTGTAGTTTGTAGCCTAAGCCTCAGTAAAAACTCTCTTGACTACTGAAATTTTTTTTTTACTGAGAAAGGGTGGGCCGGGAAAATTGTCGTTTCGGCCCGGCCCGTTGCAAGTATGGAAATTTTTGTAGTTTGTAGTCCAAGCCTCAGCAAACTAATAAATTTTGTAGTTTGTTTTAAAAAAATTAAATTTTGTAGTTTGTAGTTCAAGCCTCAGTAAACTAATCGATATCTTAGCTCATAGTGGTCCAAATCAAACGAAACAAAAGCTAAAATGTCTCTAAAACTTGTAGTTTGTAGTCTTCCCTAATAACAATATTAAATTCCAGACGTCCTCAAAGCCACCGGTGGAATCGACGAAAAAACCCTGCACTCGCTTCAAGACGCTCTCGGCGAGACCTCATCTCAATCAGTCGTCGTTGCAATCGATCGAATATTCAATGGATCCGCCCGTCTCTCCGCAGAAGCCATCGTCCATTTTGTCAGAGCCCTTTGTGCAGTATCTCGAGAAGAACTCTCCCACCCAGCTGCTCCTCGAATGTTCTTACTTGGAAAAGTTGTCGAAGTGGCATTCTACAATATGAATCGAATCCGTTTGGAATGGAGTCGAATCTGGCATGTCATTGGTGAACACTTCAACGCGGCTGGCTGTAATTCCAACGAAGCCGTTGCCTACTTCTCTGTGGATGCTCTTCGACAGCTCTCAATCAAGTTTTTGGAGAAAGGAGAACTTCCAAATTTCAAGTTCCAAAAAGACTTTCTACGGCCTTTTGAGGTTATTATGGTCAAAAATGGGAATACACAAACAAGGGATCTGGTGGTTCGATGCTGTACTCATCTTGTTGAGACTCACTCGAATAGGCTCAAATCTGGATGGCAGAATCTTTTCTCTGTATGGACAATTGCTGCTGGAGACTCGTCAATGGAAATTGTCGAGACCTCATTCCTCACTGCAAGCCACGTCATTGAGAAACGATTCAAAGAAGACTTCCCATCGATTCTGGACTCATTCCAGGAGGCATTGAAGTGCCTTCAGGAGTTTGCGTGCAATGCGAATCTTCCTGATATGAATATGGAGGCGATTCGTTTGATTCGACTCTGTGCGGACTATGTGTCGGAAAATAGCGATAAAATCGATGAAGCCGCCCGGAAGGATGATCATAGTCACAAGGGATTGACTGCCGATCAGCATGTTTGGTTGAGAGGATGGTTTCCGATATTCTTCGAGCTCAGTTGTATTATCAATCGATGTAAACTAGATGTGAGAACCAGAAGTCTCACGGTGATGTTTGAAATTATGAAGACTCATGGAAAGGACTTCCGACCAGAATGGTGGAAGGATCTCTTTGAAATCGTGTTCCGTATATTCGATCCCTCGAAAATGGATGATCATCGGAGCGATAAGCGAGAATGGATGTCGACGACTTGTAATCACGCTATGCTGAGTGTCGTAGAAGTCTTCACCCAATTCTATACCCAACTTTCCGTTTACGCTCTTCCTATGATCTACAGACAGTTCGCAGTATTCATCCGTCAGCAGAATGAGCAGCTCGCCAGATGTACAATCAATTGTCTGGAGTCTCTCATCTCTCAGAATGGAGAGAGGTTCACTGAATCGATGTGGGAACAAACTATAGAGCTTATCAGAGAACTGTTCTCTGCGACGCTTCCGAAATCGTTGTTGACTTGGGAGCCACCAAATGGGAAAATGCCTGAAAGCAATGGATCTGACGCCTTGTTCACCGAGCAAATTGTGTTCTGTGTTGTGCAGAATGAACTAGTTGAAGCTGTCTCGAGAATTGTGCTTGGTGATCATAGAGAGACTACCAAAAGCCTTCAAGCGGATGGTCTATTCACTCAAATGTCTCCAGAACTGCTTTTGAGCATTTGTGATGCGCTGGCGGAGAGTCACAAGCTGGCTAAACAGTTTAACGATAATAATGGGCAACGAACGCTGCTTTGGAAGGCCGGACTACGCGGATCGAGTAAGCCGAATCTCATAAAGTAAGCTTACTTTGAATATTTGTTGTGGAATTTCTGTCTTAAAATGTCTGAAAAGTTTCAGCCAGGAGACTAGATCATTGAGCGCCATGCTTGCCATCATTCTACGCTTGCTTTATGATTTAAGAGCCCAGGAGATTGCTGGACAGATTTCGCAGAGGGTTTTGGAGTGAGTTTTTTTTAATACCCGCCAAATTTCCCCCGAAATACCAAAACTTCTTCCAGAGTCGTCTCCCTCGCACTAAATGGGTATGGAGAGGCTGAATCGGACACCCGCCGAACCGCTTACGGACCAGTGATTTGTGAATTGCTTCGAGAGTGTATCGCTCTTCCAACTGAGCTCCTTCCAGTTCTTGGACCGGAATTCCCATTGAAGTGAGTGTCATTTTCGTTTTTGTTTGGTTCGAATTGATCTACTAGTAGCGGAGAAATGAGTTTACTGAGGCTTAGGATACAAACTAGAAAATCTTCTAAGCCTCAGTAAAACGCGCACTAGTAGTAGAGAAAGGTTTTACTGAGGCTTAGACTACAAACTACAACTTCCTTTAAGCCTCAGTAAAACCTAAAACTGATGTATCTTGGATTTTTTTCAACCGGTTTTAATATATTTTTCAGACTTTGCGATCTTGTGGTGACTGCAGAAGGCCAACAAATGCGACGTTCCCTGGCAGATCTGCTCCGTCGATGGATGCCACCGTGTTCAGCAAAAATTCCGAATGGATCCGTAGAAAAATAAATGTTTTTTTTTTCATCCATAAAATTAGATTCTCTCCCATAAAAAATCACTTAGACTTCTTACATTTTTGCTCAATTTTCTGTTTTTTTGAATACTGTAATTCCCAAATTTTCAGAAATGTAAAGTGCGTTTTAAGCACTCTATTTGATTCGCTTTACTCTCTTTTTTTGTGAATATAATTTAATTTTTTCTCTTTTTTGCCTACAATTTTTGGTTGTGTCTACCCCTCTCAAATTCTAGTGTCTTTTCTCCCCCAATCCGATCAAAAAATCTTGAAATGTGATAATTGATGTTTCTCTAATTAATTCTCCTAAATTATTCCTAATTAATTGCCTTTTCTCTCTCACACAGATATGATTGGTTTTACGGTTTTTGCTTTTTTCTGAAAATCAAAATTATTTAATTATGAAAATTGAAATTAAAATTTTTTCTTTTTTTGCCATGGTTAATTACCCAATTATTATTTTTTTTAAGTTGAAGAATTTCAGCAAGACTTAAAGAATTTTCAGATGGCGATACTGGGATTCCACGTGGTGATATGTCTAATTGCGGTGACAATTATCACCAAATTAGTCAGAAGAGCCAATTTCATTGATGTCTTTATAACGAATGGGTAAAATCTGAAAAGAAATTCCAAAAAAAAAGAAATTAAAAATTAAAAAAATATTCAGGTTATATCGATTCCTGGCACCGTCGAATCAAGAGCTGAAGGCGTTGTTACCGCCGACTAAGGAGAAACTGAATCAGAGAAATCGAAGAAAAAAGAGGTAAAGCTGGTTTTTACTGAGGCTTAGAGATAGTTGTAGTTTGTAGCATTAAAAAGAAACGATATCTCAGCTCGTAGTGAACCAAATTTAATGATTCAAAAACGAAACAGATTCTGGAGATTTGTAGTTTGTAGTTCACATTTTAAACGAAAAATTCCAATTTCGAGAATTTTAGATTTTCTAAAATTATAAAAATCTTTAAAAAAGTTAAAATTGATGATCAAAAAATCGATTTTTTGCAGAGAAGACGAAGCAGTCGAAGGATTCTCGATTCCCAAATCGTCTCCATTCCAATTGAGTCTCTATCCAGTCAACGTGGCAGATCTCGTCCAATTCGAAATGTACACCCAACTCCATTGGATGTGTCTCTGCATCCCTGTGTCTCTTCTCGTCTACACTCTCTCGGAAATCTATAATTTTGTGATGCCTGAAAATAAGGATTTCAATGTTTCCATTATTTTTATGCTCGTCGTGATTATGTTCGTCCTTCAAGTCCTTATGACACTTTCCTCGTATTTGGTTTCGAGTGTCGATGAGAGAGGGTTCATGATTTCCATTGGAGCCGTCTATTTTCTGTTTGCATTCATTTTTGCCATGAATTCACATCGCATTTTTGATATTCAAATGTTGGAAGGTGAGTTTTTTAAAGTTTGGAAATTTCTCGAAAATCGGAAAATTCCAAAAACGACTAAAAACGTTTGGAAACTAGCCAAACACAGTTTATTGATGTTTCACTGAGGCTAAGCAACTACAAACTACAATCTCCCGAATCCGTTTCGTCGTTGAATCATTAAATTTGGTTCACTACGAGCTGAGATATCGGTGAGATTAGTTTACTGAGGCTAAGACTACAAACTACAATTTGCTCTAAGCCTCACTATCAGTAAAACTCAAAATCGATGGATTTCAGCTCTTTCTCAACCGTTTCTGATGATTTTTACATCAAAATTTTGAGAATTCTTTGCTTTTCTGAAAGAAAAATAAAAACTACAAACTACAAAATGTCATAATCCTCAGTAAAACTTGGAATCTCTATAACTTGGCTCATTTTAATTTATTAAAATTTTTGGAAGATGAGCTTTTAGTTTGGAAGGTTTTGATGTTTTGAACATTCTGATTTTCAGATTTTGAGAATTTTTGAAAACCTATCTTTCTTTACAAGTTTCTGAAATTTCTAGATTTCTAGACATTTTGATTTTTAGAATTCCAGACTTTTAAATTTTCAAGGTTTTCGAAATTTTCCAATTATCTGAAAATTTTCCAATTAGCTGAAATAAGTTTTTTTCAAAATTTTGTACGGAAACTACAAACTACAAATCTCCGGAATCCATTTCGTTGTTAAACCATTCAATTTGGTTCACTACGAGCTGAGATGCCGGTGAAATAAGTTTACTGAGTCTTATACTACGAACTACAAATGGCATTAGCCTCAGTAAACTCTCTTCTGGTTTTTTTTGGCTTTCTGAAAATTATGGAGTTGGAAAAAAATAGTGAGGTCGGTAGGAATTCCAGTTTTCAGATTTTCGAATTTTTGAAGAATTTTAATTTTTTTTTGAATTTTAAGTTTTGACCTAATTATCAATTTCAGCCTACGACAAGCTGAGCACGAACATTGCGGATTTCGTCGAGAGTTCAGGACTTTTCGACAATTCCACCGCCAACATTCGTGATTATCGTCCGACGAATCCTCTGATGATGTATATCTCGCTGTCTGTCTTCTTCTCGATGCTCTCCGCAATGCTCGTTTTTCCAAACTTCCGTTGTGCGATGATGTATCTGAAGGCGTTGGAAATCGATGGACGAATCCGAAGAGCTGTCGACCACGTGGCATTTCTTCTACCCGCTTTCATTCTGGCTTCGTTTTCAAAGCCATTAGTTCATCAGCTAGTGGAGGGACCGAGGAAAATGTGAGGATTTTTAGCCATTTTCAAGCTCTCAAAAAAAATAATAAGCTTAATCTTTCATATTTCAATTGACTTCTAGTCTTCAAAACCTTCTAAAAACTCTCAAAAGCCCAAAAAACCGAGAGAAAAATGTGAGAATTTTTGAATTTTTCACTTCTTGAGGCTTTAAAACAACTGAATTTCTGATTTTTGGTCATTTTTTAGCTCTCAAATAGCTTAAAAATTCAATTTCAAACCTGATTTTTGCTACCAGAACCCTCTAAACTCCCAAAAACCCTCAAAAATTGAAATTTCCAGCGTCACCATCGAGCAACTCGACATCATCCGTATCTATCTTCTCCTCTTCTGGGTCTTCACCAAATTCATCACTCGCGTCTCGCATCTACAAGCGCATCTCAATTTGGCATACGACAAAGTCGCTGAAATGAGAGCCGAGTCGGGAAAAGTCAAGAACTACACGATTCAGGCGATGGTAAGTGCGTGTTACTGAGGCTTAGGAGGGTTTTGTAGTTTGTAGTATGACGAAAAAGCAAAAAATTTCCAACATTTTGATCTACAAATCATCGAAAACGGTTGAAAAAGAGCTGAGATTCATCGATTTGAAGTTTTACTGAGGCTTAGAAAGGTTTGTAGTTTGTAGTCTAAGCATCAGTAAAACCTTCCTCCACTAGTAGTGAGCGTTTTACTGAGGCTTATGAAGTTTTTGTAGTTCGTGTTGCTTAGCCTCGGTAAATCAATGTTAGGAATTTACTTGAGGCTAAGATAGTTTTGTAGTTTGTAGCCTAAGCCTCAGTAAACTGATTTTGACCCAAATCAAACAAAGTTTTTACTGAGGCTTAGAAACTACAAACTACAAAATCTTCTAAGCCTCAGTAAAACGAAAAATGGCTTTATCTCCGCTCTTTCTCAACCGTTTTGATGATTTCTACCTCAAAATTTCGAGAATTCTTTGCTTTTTTGAAAGAAAAAAAAAGAAAAACTACAAATTACCCATTCTTCTAAGCCTCAGTAAAGTTTTCAAAATATGCTTCCAGATCTATCGCTACTACCGCTATCTGTGCTGTGCAGCAATTCAATATTTCGGTCCCGCGATCCTCGCTCTCCTCTTCGCTCTCCTCCTCAAAACAACCGGGAATCTGTCATGGCTCGGCGCGCCACGTGGCATCGAGAACGCCGAATTGAACACTCTGGCGCTCACCGGACCGATTCGCTTCGTCTTTGACACCACGATTTGTCGTGCATTCTTCTCATTTTTGCTCGTTGTCACATTGCTCATCAATTTCTCACTTCAATTGTTGGGTGTTGTCTATCACTCGTATTTTGTTGGTGGCACTGGAACAACCACTAATTAGTCTGAAAGAAAATCTGAAAATTTTGAGATTTTTGTACTTTTAAGAATATTTTTTAGCTGGAAATTCTGAAAAAAAAATCAATTTTATATTTTTTTTTTTTCTGTAATAATTAGGAGATAGCCTTTTTTCATGTGCCTTATCTTTGTTTTTTTTTTGCTCTCAAAACTCAATTTTTCTGCTCAATTTCCCCCACCGAAAATCAGTGCTTTCAAAGCTTTAAAACAATGTTTTTAACGGTTTTTATAAGATTTTTTCCTTTTTTTCTTCTTTTTTCTTTGACTTTTTAGCTGTAATAATTTCAGATTTTTACCTAATTTTTCAATTTTTTTTGAAGAATTTTCAGCCAAATTTCAATTTCAGCTCTAGAAAAATGAGCGAATGCCTGATGTTTGGAATGGATTGTGAGGCGAGATGCATGACATCGATGACGGCCGATGAGGAGAATATTTGCTTTTTGGTTGGAACGAATAATATCAAAAATGACAAGAATCAGGTGAGAATTTCCGGGGAAATTCGGATTTTACTGAGGCTAAGGGGAATTTGTAGTTTGTAGTTTCAAAAACAATCGAATAATTCAATAATTCATAATAATTCAAATATTTCATATAATTCAAATATAGCTCCACACCTCAAAATGACCCCCTTATAAACAACTATAGTAGAGAACCAGTACAAAAATGGGGGGGGGGGGTCTACTGAGGTGTGGGGGGCTGAAGTTGAATTGGTTGATTAAAGTATGACCCCCCACCAGTACATAGTGGGGGCCTATACTTGTTTTGTAGTTTGTAGTCTAAGCCTCAGTAAAACCTTCCTCCACTAGTAGTGAGCGTTTTACTGAGGCTTATGAAGTTTTTGTAGTTCGTGTTGCTTAGCCTCGGTAAACCAATAATAGGAATTGAATTGGGGTGGGGGGCTATATTTGAATTCAGCCCCGTTGAGATAACGAGCTTGGAAGTTTTACTGAGGCTTAGAAACGTTTTGTAGTTTGTAGTAAAAAAAATCACGAAAAACTGGCAAAGTTGAATATTTACTGAGGCTAAGAAAATATTGTAGTTTGTAGTCTCTCTCTCTCTCTCTCTCTCTCTCTCTCTCTCTCTCTCTCTCTCTCTCTCTCTCTCTCTCTCTCTCTCTCTCTCTCTCTCTCTCTCTTAGCCTCAGAGAAAGCGATAAATTTTTACTGAGGCTTAGAAACTACAAACTACAAATTTCCATAAGCCTCAGTGAAATACTCCTGTGGATTAGAAAAAAGTTTAGTTTGTAGCCTTCTAGCTTCTGAAAAAAATTTGATCTCTTCGAAAAAATGGTGTTTACTGAGGCTTACAATTACTTGTAGACTACAAACTGCAAAGCCTGCAAAGCGTTCTTAGCCTCAGTAAAACTAAAAATCGACATATCTCAGCTCTTTTTCATCCGTTTTCGATGATTTATACATCAACACTTCGGGTATTTTTCGCTTTTTTTCATACTACAAACTACAAAATTTCCTAAGCCTCAGTAAACTTTCTATTGAGTGTATCTCGGTTCATTTTCAACGGATTTTTATGATTTTTAAGTCAAAATTTAGGATTTTTTTTTCAGTTTTAAATGTAATATTCCAGGTCAACAAGCTCTTCATGGATCCAGACGCCTCTCGTTTGATGTCAAAATGCTTCAGACACCCAGCTGGAGAAGTCCGCGCAATCGCTGCCCATCCTACGAAGAGTACAATCGTTGCGACGTGTACAGCCGATTGTAAGTGCGCTCCAGTGGACTGGGTCCGGATTTGAATTTGAAAAAAACCGACGAAAACGGTTGAAAACTAGCCGACTTAAAGTGTGTTGAAGTTTTACTGAGGCTAAGCGACTACAAACTACAAAATGTCGTTAAAATTTTTATTCGAAAATTTGTAAACTACAAACTACAGCTCTCCAGAATCAGTTTCGTTGTTAAATCATTCAATTTGCTCCACTAAAAGCCGAGATACCGGGGAAACAAGTTTACTGAGGCTAAGCGACTACAAACTACAAAATTTCGTTAATATTTTTATTCGAAAATTTGTAAACTACAAACTACAGCTCTCCAGAATCAGTTTCGTTGTTAAATCATTCAATTTGCTCCACTAAAAGCTGAGATACCGGGGAAACAAGTTTACTGAGGCTAAGCGGCTACAAACTACAAATTTTGCTATGCCTCAGTAAAACTTAACATCGCTATAACTTGGCTCGTTTTCAACCGATTTTCACGATTTATCTTTCTAAAAACCTGAATTTTTTGCAGTTAGCAGTCTCGGCGGAACTCATTCAATCACAATATGGAACATCGAAGAAGACAAACGAACACTGGAGACCGTAAGTCGTCTGCCAACCGAACCAGTGATGTCATGTCTCGAATGGGAGCCAACTTCAATGCGTTGTGCCACTTTGACACCATTCGTACCTGAAATTCAACTATTGGATATGGAAAATGAGCCGAGGATTGTGCAAACGATGAAAATCCAGTTGGAAAATGAGGAGAATGAGATGTTTGGCGTTCGTTGGAGTCCGCATTTCGATGGAAATATGTTGGGTGTGACAACTGGAAGAACTGTCATGTGTATGGATTCTAGGACTGAAAATGAACATTTAAAAGTGAAAGATGCACATTTACATCGGACAATTGCAATGGATTTTAATCCCAATTTGCAGCATGTGTGAGTTTTTTGAAACATTTGGAAATTGAGATTTTTAAATCGCAAATCTCAAATTTAGAATATTCTGTGTTTTGAATTCAAAACTGTCTTTAAAAATGCAGTTTTTTCGAATTTCAGGGTTTTAAATTCCAGAAAAGAAGGATCATTGTAGTTTGTAGTCTTGAAAAAACGCGATTTCAAACACTAAAAATTTGAAATTTCAATAAAAATTTACAATTTTTCAACTAAGCCATTTTGATTTTTTCTTGGATTTTTTGCAAAATTTTTAGACCTTTTTTGATTTTTGCAGCTATTTTTCAAGATTATTTCTCGATTTTTCCGAATTTTTTGTCTGAAATTTGACGGGACAGTGTTCAGGATTACTGTGGATCACTGTAGAAACCCTTCGGTTTTGTAGTTTGTAGTTTGAAAAAAACACCACAATCTACGTGAAAATTGATATGAAAAGAAAACCAAAAAAAAACTACAAAAAAGGATATAAGCTTTTTACAGTAACCTACAGTAATCCTCACGAGCACCGTTCCATCAAATTTCAGACGAAAAATTCGGAAAAATCGAAAAAAAATCTTCAAAAATAGCTGAAAAACCTAAAAAGGTCTGAAAATCTTGCAAAAAATCGAAGAAAAAATTCAATCTCGTCCCTCGAAAATTCGTTTTAAAAATCGAAATTTTTTCTCGATATTTTCCAATTTTTAGTGTTTGAAATCGCGCTTTTCAAGACTACAAACTACAAAAATCCTCCTAGGCCTCAGTAATAGTGAATTGTTGTTTTGAATTTTTTATCAGTTTTTTTGAATTTCCAGAAATTTCAAACTTTTTCTCAAATTTACGAACTGCCTGAAAATTTAGAAACCCCGAAAAATTTAAAATATTAGAGCAATTTATAAGCTTCAGGATTTTCGAGAATTCCAATTTTTCCAGAATCGCGACCGGCGGTGACGATGGATACGTCAGAATCTGGGATACACGACGAACGTCATCAGCTGTGATGTCCCTCCATCCACACGCTCATTGGGTGTGGAGTGTTCGATTTCATCCAGTACACGACCAACTTCTTCTCACGGGCGGCTCAGATGCATCCGTTGTTCTTTCGTGTGCTCAAAGTGTCAGTAGTGAGCAATTGAAAGTTTTTAAAGACGACGATGATGAGGAAGAGGAAGAAGAGGACGAGGATTTGGTCGAGAAGTTACAAGATGGACAATTGGAAAGGATTGATGAACATGAGGATAGTGTGTAAGTGGATGGAGAGGCTACAAACTACAAACTACAAAATTCGACTGAAAATTCTCTTTATTTTGCACCAAAAACCATCGAAATCCGTTGAAAATGAGCCGAGATATTGCTTTGAGAAGTTTTACTGAGGCTTAGAGAAAAGTGTAGTTTGTAGTTTCTAAGCCTCAGTAAAAATGTCTCGTTTTTCACTGAGACTTAGAAACTACAAACTAAAATTTTTTCTAAGCCTCAGTAGAACTTTCTCTCAACGAATTTCGATGGAAAATTCGCCAACTTTTTCGTAGTTTGTCGTCGCTTAGCCTCAGTAAAGATTTTTAACTTTCTAGCTTTTCCTGAGGCTTAGTGACTACAAACTACATAAACTTCTAAGCCTCAGTAAAGCAACAAGGGCTGGTTTTGTGTTACTGAGACAGAACATTTTGTAGTTTGTAGTCGCTTAGCCTCAGTAAAGCTTGTTAGTTATTACTGAGGCTTAGTGACTACAAACTACAAAATTTCATTAGCTTCAGTAAAACTGTATATCAAGAAACTTCGATGGAAAATTCACGAACATTTTTGTAGTTTGTAGCCACTTAGCCTCAGTGAAGCTTGCTAGTTTTTACTGAGGCTTAGAAACTACAAACTACAAGATTTTCTAAGCCTCAGTAAAACTGTATTTCGACTAATTTCGATGGGAAATTCGTGAACTGTTTTGTAGTTTGTGGTCGCTTAGCCTCGGTAAAGCTCATTAGATTTTACCTAGACTACAAACTACAAATTTTCGTAAGCCTCAGTAAGAAAAAAAAATATTGAAAAAATACCTTTTTTTCGCTGAATGACTCATCTTTTTTCTTATCAATAAACAAAAAAAATGATTTCATAATCTCCCTTTTTTTCAGATATTCGTGCGCCTGGTCATCAGCCGATCCGTGGTCATTTGCCTCACTTTCCTATGATGGACGGATGATTTTGTCGAATGTTTCGAGAAAACACAAATACGCCCTAATGCAATTATAATATTTATTTTTCTGGACTTTTTCGAATTTTTGGGTGTAAATACGGTTTTTTTTTTGCTTTCAAGTTGTATTAAATTGCTTATAAATTTAATTTTTCAATTTAATTTTTTTTTCTATTTTCTTTATTTTTTCTAAATTTCAAGCGCTTTAAAAATCGCTGAAATTCCTTTTTTCTATATTTTTAAGTCAAATTTTTGAAATTTTCAGCATAAAAATGTCCCAAAATTCGAATCTGATGCGCGAAGTGCGCCTATTTGAGAACCATTCGGAGCGAGAGCAAATGGAGAATTTATCGGAGCTTTTTGCAGGTTTGGGGGACCTTTTTAAAATTGCGAAAAAATAAAACAAATTTTCAAAATTTAAAAGTTTTTTCTAAAAATAATACCAAGGCAAAAAATAATTCGATTTTGACAAATTGAATCTTAGAAAAAAGGCTGATAAGTTTACTGAGGCTTAGACTACAAACTACAAATTATTATAAGCCTCAGTGAAACGTGTAATCATCTCAGCTCATTTTCAACCGTTTTTGGTTATTTTTCATCTAAATTTCGAGAATTTTTTGCTTACGCTAAGACTGCCGACTACTATCACTATCATATTTTCAAATTTCAAAATTTTGCAGTTCTAAACGCTTTGGAGCACTTGGAGAAGATGTTCAGTAGAGATCATGTGACAGCTGACGAGTACAAAACCGAATGTTTCAAACTAATCGATCAATACAAAGTGACGATGCGTTTGGTGCATGGAGCAACGAGCATCGAGGAATTCGCCAAGAAATATCGATTACATTGTCCGGCGGCGATTGAGAGAATTCGAGAAGGACGGCCGATTACGGTGAAGGATGATCAGGGCAATGTTCTCAAACATATTGCTTCTATTGTTGAGGTTAGAGACACAGAGAAATAGGAGGAAATTTGAAAAATTTTGAAAAAAATTGGTTCTAGATTTTTGAAATTCGATTTTATTGAGGCTTAGACTACAAACTACGAAATTCTACTGAAAATTCCCTTCATTTTGCACCAAAAATCATTAAAATCGGTTAAAAATGAGCCCAGATACTGCGTTGAGAAGTTTTACTGAGGCTTAGAGAAAAGTGTAGTTTGTAGCTTCTAAGCCTCAGTAAAAACTAGCCAGTTTTACTGAGGATAAAAGACTACAAACTACGCGAATTCTTGAGCCTCAGTAAGGGCGTGCTTTGTTTTACTGAGGCTTAGAAAATTTTGTAGTTTCTAGTCGTTTAGCCTCAGTAAGCACTAGCGACCTTCACTGAGGCTTAAGAACTACAAACTACACATTTCTCTAAACCTCGGTAAAGCTTTATCTCAATGAGTTTCGATGGAAAATTCGCGAATTTTTTTGTAGTATGTAGTCGCTTAGCCTCAGTAAAGCTTGGTGGTTTTTGCTGAGGCTAAGAAACTACAAACTATAAATTTTCGTAAGCCTCAGTAAAACGGTATTTCAACGAATGTCGATAGCGAATTTACAAAAATGTGTAGTTTGTAGTCGCTTAGCCTCAGTAAAGCTTGTTAATTTTTTTCTGAGGCTTAGAAACTACAAACTACACTTTTATCTAAGCCTCAGTAAAACTTCTCAACGCAATATCTCGGCTCATTTTCAACGGATTTCAATGATTTTTAGTGCAAAATAATGAGAATTTTCTGTCGAATTTTGTAGTTTGTAGTCTCAGTACTATTTACGCACTATCCTCATGCTCATCAATCCTTTCCAATTGTCGAAAACCCAATTTTCCGATAATTTTTATAAATCTGGAAAGTCAGAGTTCTTTAAACTGTTTTAAAAGTTATCGGGAATTTTTCAAATTTCGAAAATCCCTCCAAACATCAATAATCTCTCCTTTCAGCAATTCATCACATTCCTGGACTCTCTCCGTCTGAATACTCGTGCCGTTGATGATTTGTATCCAGTTCTGGATGATCTCTACAACGCAATCAATTCCACATCTCGTGTTCCAATCGATGCGAATGTCACTACAAAAGTCAAAAAATGGCACGATCGTCTGTCTTCGATGGCCGCCACTGATGAGATTTCCGATGACGAGGCTCGTCAAATGATTTTCGACACCGAAGGCGCTTATCAGTCATTCCAGAAGGCGCTCAACGAACAGAAACATTAAATTATTGTTCAATTTTTTTGTTGAAAATGTGCTCTATTGAAACTCTCAAAAACGTCAATTGAGCGCTTTTCCCTTCACAATTTTACTTAATTATGTACTGTGTGTATACTTTTTTTTCCTTCATTTTCCACCTTATCTTCCCCCAAATTCTGCTTGATTCGATTTTTTTCCCTCATTAAAAATGCATCTTAAAGCCTAAATTTGATCCCAGATTTCAGATTTTTATCCATAACTTGTGACAGCGAAGAGTTCTTGCTCTGAAATCTGGACCATTCGTTTCGAAATTGAATTTAGAACATTTCCATAACAAAAAATCTCAAAAAATTGACAAACATTTTTTTTTGATCGAAAAAAAGCTAAGTCTTACATAAGGCATTTTTTTCGAAATCCAAAAAAAAAAATTTTTTTTTTTGATTTTTTGTCATAGAAACGTTCCACATTCAATTTCAAGTTACGTCCCAAAATTTCAGGCCCAAATCTCTTATTTGAACAAAGTTATTAAGGATTTTTCTAAGCCTATACTTAAGCCAAAATTCGGTTTCAGGCTTTTGTCCATAACTTTTTTTTCAGAAAAGAGATCTCGATCTGATATTTGAATCCGGTACCTAAAATTGAACGTCAAACGTTTTCTTAACAAAAAATCTCAAAAAATTGACAAACATAAAAATGGACAATCGAAATCTCTGATTTTTACAAGGCTATAGTTTAAAAGTGATAGCATAAAAATTGGATACTTTATATTCTGAATAAACCAGCGAATAACATAAAAAAAAGGAAAAAGGAGAAGAAAAAACGATGCAATTCCGAAAATAATAAATATAATGAGATTAAGAGCCAACAAGACAATAATTTACTTCTTCTTCCCCTTCGACACTGTAAACGCGTCCTTCACCAACTTCTCGCGTTCCTTACCACTGAAATCTGCGCGGACTCCGTCGAATAGTCTGAAAATTGAATTTTCAAAGGAAGTCCAATTCTTCAATCCTTACCCATTGATAACTCCTACGACGGCATTCTTCAAATCTCCTGGATGAAGAGGGAACTCTGGATTGGAGCCAGTTATGAACTCATGCTCCAACTCTTTGTAGCTAGAGACTGCCACGTCACCACCATTATCCGAAGATCGTGGAATACTCAAAGAGGATCCGTTGAGCAATGGGAAGACTATCTGATCGGCAAGCTGCATCGCCACGTTACCCTCCAGGTTCTGAGGTTCGCAGAAGCTTCTGGAAATTCAGATTTCTCAAATTTTGAAACACCCCCTTTTCACAATACCTCGCGATTTTCGTTTTGGTTTGCTTCGGTGTATCCAATGGGTCTAGAAGGAAATCTGGCACCGAGCAGCTCATTTTCTGTCCGTTGCATCCTGGAACAGTTGGAATTGCAAGATGAGCAATCGCTGAGTATCCAAAGCATTTCAGAAGACGGGATGATAGGTCAGCGAATACTGTAGAATCGTTTCCGATTATCAATAAGTCCGGACGATAGATATGTGCATTGAGTGAGTAGATGAGAGGAACCAGATTTCCGGATAGAGCAGTTCCCTCGCAGATCGTTGTCTCATCTCGTGTCACAGCAGATGCCATTTTATAGAAATCGAGTACGTAGTCCCTGGAAATAAAGTTGTGAATCGTTTTGCTCATTTTTGTTTTTTTTTTCTATTCTAAAATGAGAAAAATCGCATCTGGCGGCCTAGTGGCCGATGTTGAGTTTTCTTGTCCTCCCTGCGGCGAAGAAGCGTGCGAATTTGGATTTTTTTGAATTTTTTTTGAAAAGGTGAAAACAGACTGAAAATCAAGAAAATGTTTCTAGAAAATTTTGGATTTTTCGAAAAATTTCAAAGTCTATCAATTGTGATAAAAATTGATATGACGACCTAAAATGGCTTGAAAAACAATATTCTGAAGAAAAAATTCGAAATTTTGAAAAATTGAAAAAGTTTTTTTTGAAGTTTTTCAATTTGCTCGTTTCTTCGGCACATGAGGGATTAGAAAACTCACAATCGGCCGTCAGCCACCGGAGGAATATTTGTTTGATTTTTGATCAAAATACAGCAATTTACACTTTTTGAATCAAAACTCACTTATTAAAGTACTTCTCATGTTCAGCTGCCACCTTAACCTCCACGACATCCTCCAATTTCAAATTCTTGATAAGTGACAGGAAAGTCTCTCGATAGTAGATTCCTCTCGCTTCAATCGCTCCCCATGACACCTTCTGATTGTCCAAATAAGCTTCCAGATCCGAGACAAGAATCGTTGCTTTCACAGGAACTCCTGCATCAACAAGTGCTTTGATTCTGAGAAGCGGTGACACGAATCCAAGATGGAACTTTCCTTTTCCATGAGCAACGAACATCACGTGGAGAGGGTTTGAAGGAGAGACACTGGACAAAACTCGAACCAGCTCATCCTCACTGAACAGCTCTCCTCCATTTTGAATCCGTTCTTTCCACGCCTTCTGCTCCGCACTCAACACTGGAATCGGTTCTTCTGGAATCGGAGTACTCTCTGCTTCCACAACTTTACTGTATCCCTTTTCTTTGGCTTCTTTGACCTCATCAGTGTCGCATTTCGCTCTGACTTTGTCCAGAAGATTCACTAGGAAATCAGATAGGAACGTCTTCAAAGCCGACTCATCGAGTTTTCCATCCAAATACGCTTGCTTCAAAGCATTGAAATCGAAAAATTGTTGGTTGGAAATTTCAATCGCGTTGGGCGACACAATGGGGAAGAGTACATAGTTGTAGAAAGCGAGAACTCCATTGTCCGGTTGATCTCTCGAGCAAGCGGCACCCATGATTTTGCTACGAATTCTATCCGACTCATCCAACACATCAATCTTCGAGTCTTCTTCAGAACTGCTCATTTTGGTTCCAGTAAGTCCTGGCACCATCGGATTCATCAAGTGCCAACGCTTTCCAAGCTTCAATTTCGGGAGTTGTTCCTCGGCAAGAATGAAGATTTTCCGTTGATCCACTCCTCCGAATTGGCCGTCAACTTTGAGATATTGCTCATCGAGAGCTTGAAGAAGAGGGTAGAGAAGACCTGAGAGAAGTGGCGACTCCACTTGCTTGACTACCTCGGCACCAGCTTTCAGAGCATCGCGAAGGGAAACTTGGGCCGTCAATTGGAGTACATGATCCGTGTAGTCTCTAAAAATCAAAAATTAATAAAAAAGAGCTCTCAGAATCTATAGCGAACCTCTCCAATTGGTATTCCGTTCCTTTCTTGAAGTGCAACTGTCCAATAGGAACATCCAATGACTCCAACAACGCAATGATGACCTTCTGGTAGTAGACAACTCGACTCTTCAACACATCCCAAGTACTCTTCATATTGTCGAGATAGGCATGAAGATCTGCGAACAGGATGGTCACTTTCAGTCCGGCTTGAAGGAAGTCCGCGATTTTTCGCATTGGAACCAGATATCCGACATGTGGTTTGCCAGTCGTTGCTGTTCCCCAATAGACATGTGGCACTTTTCCAGGGGTTCCTAGTTGGAGCGTGAGCTTGTCGACTCCGAGCGATTCCTGAAAAAATAAATACATACCTTGAGAAAATGAGTTTTCTAAAAATAACGGCGCTAAGGTACTTTTTGGCGCCATTTTTCGGATGTCCCAGTGGAAGGGATAAAAGGCGTTCCAGCCAAAGCCTATAGTTATAAAAAATCAACATTTAAAAAAATTCCAGCCAAGAGAGTTCTGAGATTCGCGAAAATCAGCCTTGTATCCCTTCCACCGAGACACCTGCATTTTGGCGACAAATTAAAAAGGTTTCCGAAATAGTGCACATGCGCGCCAGAGTGAATGCTGCGTACGCAAGGCACTCTTGGTCATGTTGACGCGCAAATGCGGTCGGCTGTCGAAAAGTCCTATTTCAGAGTGAAAAATTCATAGTTTCTGGGACTAAATCACACATTTAAGTGTCTAAAATTACCTGCAAATTTCTAAGGATCAGCTCGCGCCGCTGCTTCGTCTCCTCGGTGATTTCTTCCGCCGTCGGTGTTGCCATAATTTCCAGTTGGCCTAAAACGTATTTCACATATTAGATTAATTTAAAAATTCGATGAAAAAAGTAAATTGACCATGAGGAACGGACATGAATTTCACAGGAAAACAAAGAAAAAAACCCGGAGGACTTTATTTTTGAAAATATGCAACAAAAAGGAAACAAAACAAATGGAGAACCTAAAAATGCATAAATAATGCTGCTTCTCTGAATTCTATTAACTAAAAATTTACAAAAATACGAATCTGAGCTCGTGGCGTTCTCGACGGCTCACAAAAGGTGCTTTCGTTGCGAGACCCGCCAAACCCGCGAAATTCAAAATTTTCAAATTCCGGAGAGAACAAACAATTCTACTAATGAGAAGCGAGAACAAAAACCTAAAAATTTACATAAATTTATCGACTTTTATTATTTCTGAATTCTACCAATGAAGACTCCTTGATCTACACCCAGTTTCCCGCCACTCGCATAACTTCCGAACTTCGCGCTCTCCAAATTCCTTTGATCTACTCCTAGTCGATCTAAACAGAAATTCGCCATTTTTGGAGTGATGGGTTGAAGAAGAATCGAAACAATTCGAATTGTCTCATAAGTCACAAAAAGGAGACTCTCAAGTCTCTCCGAATCCGTCTCTTTCCATGGTTGACTCAATTGGAACACTCGATTCGCCTCCTTCATCGTCAGCATCAACTGCTCGATGCCTTTGTAGTAGTACATATCATCGTAGAGCTCCTCACATTTCTCTCTGCTCTCTTCTAGCATCTCCAGGAGCTTTTCGGTGTCTTCTTTCACCTTTTTCTCCAATTCCACTCTTCTAGGATATGTCCCACTCTTATTTATCTTCTCTACAGTACTTCTATTCAGCAAATTGCCTACATTATTCACCAAATCACTATTAACGGTTTCTAGACAACTATTCCAACTGAAACTGCAATCATTGCTTGGGTTTCCTTGTTTTAGGAGAAAGTATCGGAGACCTTCAGAAGTGAATTTATCGATTGCGTGTTTTGGATTCACAACGTTTCCCAGGCTTTTTGACATTTTTACATTGTCCACTAGCCAATGACCATGAACGAATACTCGCTGGGGGAGGGGTAGATCAGCGGCCATCAGGAATGCAGGCCAGTAGTAGAGATGGAATCTGGAAGTTGATTTTCTCGAAGAATCGCTATAAAAAGCGAGACAATCTCATTTCTCGTCCATTTCTGGAAACTTCTGGAGGGTTCTGGAATCTTATTTTTTGAATTCCCACACAACTGAAAACTATGAAAAAATAGCGGTCTTTTGCGATTTTTCTTCGATTTTTTGCAAAATTTTCAGACCTTTTTCAGTTTTCAGCTATTTTCAAACATTTTTCCGATTTTTTTTTTGATGGAACGGTGTTCGCGCGAAGATTACTGTAATATACTGTAGAAGGCTTATTTTCTTTTGTAGGTGTTGCAAACACCGTCAAAATGCAGATATTGTGTTTACGAAAAAAAAAAACGCGATCAAAATTGCAGGTCTAAAACCATAATTTCAGAATTTTTTATCTGATTTTGTGGAGTTCCAAGATGATTCAAATGATTCTTAAAAAATTAATTACTGGTTATAGATTCATGTATGGTCGTTTTCCGGAAGAAAAAAAATGTAAAAAATGGTCATTTTTGAAAGTTTTTTACAGAAAAAATCTATCTCCTCTTTCAGTTTTTGACATTTCTAGGAGTTCTATAGCTCAAAAAAACCGCAATTATTTTCTCCATACTTGTAATCCGGGCCTTTTCCGGGCCTTCGCGGGCCCTGGCATAGTTTATCTAAGAGTCAATATTTTTGGGCCAATTAAATTTGATATGATAGAACTCGACGAATACTACAAAAAGATACTATTTAAAAACTGTATCTTGTATTTAAACAAAG